ATAAACCTTGCTGATTGAACCTGCATGGTCTCCAGGAGTTCTTTGGGCTAGGCCTGACACACAGGATTGATTCCAGGATTTTTTAGATTCTTTTTTTTTCTTTTTTCTCTTTCGACTGTGGGTAAACAGACGAAACATACCCACCTGTGGTCAAAAGCTAGGTCTGAAAATGTCAGTGAGATGCTATAAATTTATTGTAGCAGCATTGCCAGCTAATCCAGCATACAATCTCACCTGCATTAATGAAAACTTGAGACTCTCTTAGTTAAAATTCTGAGTGACTTTATCTAGCTGCATTGCTTCAATGTTGAAAAAGCAGCTACTGATTTTTTTAGATTCTTTTTTTCTTTTTTCTCTTCTTTTTTTTAAATCCTATACTGATAGCTAGAAGGATAATGGAAGATTCTGTTATACTGTAATATTAACAGTATCTCTTGACTGTTCAGAAGTGGCATTCTTCAAGTTATATCTGTGTGGAAGGTAGGGTTGCTTCAGCAATTTGATTTTGGAAAGTCTGACACCAATTGACTAACTGAGTAATATGCACATCAAAATCTTTTGAATGTTATACACCTAAATTTTACAATGCAATTCTCTACTCAAAATGTGTATAAAATGTATTTTAGAATATGTTGGGAAAGGCAAGAAATCTTAAAAATATGTAATTGTTTACATATATGTTTTTAAATTTTGTACAGATTTATTTTAACTGAAGATTTGGAACCAAGACAAAAAAGACTTAAAATGAATATACCTGAAATAGATACTAAGAAATTGACTAACATCTCTACCCATAATTGCTGCTGGCCTTTGATGATAATAAAGCATATCTACCCACAGTTGAAAACAGCTGCAAGTTTTATACCATGGGACTGCGTTAGAAAAAAATTGTTTCAGGTTTAGGATCATTTCAGAACAGAATTCTTTATCTGCAACTTAGTTGTAGGTATATTTTATTGGAAGTGAATATTGTTAAAGTTATTGGGGTTTGTTATCTATGAATATCAATAGGATTACAGCCATAGAGCCCATCCAATGTTAACAGGATTTGTATCTATGGGACTTACTCTGTGTCCCATAACACTGTAAGTGGGATTACAGTCTTGAAAAGCACAGTAGTTGGGTTTATGCAACACATTAAACCAAGCCCAATCAAATCAGATTATTTGTGGTTTTTGATTCAGAACAACGAGATATGGTCCTGCATAGTATCTATGCAGTCATTGTCTTAGAAAGCAAAACAAAATCATTAGATAGGTTTCAATATGAAGACAAATATTGATTCTTAATTTTTCATTGAAATTTTTTCCTTTCCAAGCTTAGGATCATAATAGCAACTTTCATATAATGAGTTGTAACAGCTTTTCCTAAGCCACCACCCTGATTATCCTGATTTGAGATAATAGACACTATTACACCAGCACATCTGGAGCACATCAAGCTGGGAAAGGCTACATTGTAGAAACCAGAAATAATTGTCTTAATTAGCATGAAAAAGCCACCTATAAATCTGTGGTATCAAAGTTCCTTTGACAAGACAGCTTGGTTTCATAATTTTTGGAGAGTCCTTACAAGAAAAAGACTTCTTGTCAAAACTTAAGAAAGCTGAATCTATTTACCAATTAAGATTGTTTTACTGTGCTGCCTTCACAGTGGAGAGGCTTATGATTGCTATTAGTGGAAAGAGATTTGTAAATGAAAAATAAACAAAGGGAATAGCACTCTGTTGGAATTTTAATTACTAGTATATTTCATAGCTAACATTGTAAAGCAATGATCAAGTTCATTTTAACCATCTCCAGTATCTTTCCTTTCTAATCACTACCAGCACTGTTGACTTCATTGGAAACTGCTATTACACAGAAATCTGCAAATGTAAACTAATGAATGTTGCTTGTTTGAAATGGTGAGTAATATTATACTTTAACAAAGAAAAATATTATTAACAGCTATTGCCTATGGTTCATTTTTATGCAGGAGTTAAAAGATACATGATTACTGATAATTTAACATTTATAATTATACTTATAATTTAACTGATAATGATAAGTGAATGCTAAATAATCACAGCAATGTTAAATTGAAAATCTGTTGAATTAATTTCAGTAATAAAATTTCAGGATGGTATAAAGTGATTTAATGCTTGTTTGGGATTTCTGTACCAAAATAAGATATTCAAGATTTCCAAATAAATTATAGTAATGTAAAGTGGATCACTGATGAGCTGAATTCCACAGAATTGCTCTCCATTTTTTTTTAAATGGCTTTAAAAAAAAAAAGTAACTGCAGAGATAAGGTAGACGAAGTTTCTCTTGGCATGGATATGGGAAACATTAAATCTTTTGAATTTCTGCATATCTTGTATTGTTGATGGTATAAGGAAGAGCCAGTTTAAAAAGTTGGCAGCTATGTATTCAATAGCTGAAAATCAAGGTCCAAATGGTTTTGACCATAATTCTGTATATATAAGTTAGATGTGTCTTCAGCTATTTCAAGCACTGCCATGTTTTTACTATTTCTGTCAAAGGTTGTCAAATTCATGTCCTAGACACAATATATGTTGATAGCTAGAGTGAGCTAGAGTAATGTGTTGGTGCCTGTCCACTAGCAAAGAAAAATGTCATCAGCTGGGATGGGGTCTGCTGCATCAGAGGACCCCACTATACCAGAGTAGAAAGCAAGCTATGGTTAGAAAGCAGTGAGCCCAGTTTCAAATCAGCCTGAAACTGGCATGGAAATATATGAGAGTGGTAGGAGTAATGGAACCAAAAAATAAATAATAAACATACAAACAAACATCATAAGCTAGCAGAACTTGGATTGCAGTAGTGAATCCACTGCCCAGGTCCTCCTTGGCTCCATTTTGAACTGTATTGCCATTATTTTAATTATTTTGCTGATTTACAAAATGGTGCTCCAAATACAAATCAAAAAGCCAATTGACAAGTTATAGGACTTTACCATAATATATTCATATTTGTTTTCCTTTAATTTAAGAAAACAAAGCAAATACTTTTTTTATGTGTGCATATGTGTGTGTGTATGTGCATATGTGTATGTATATCTCTTGGATATGAATTTGATACAGAATCAGTAATCATGAGAGTTCATAATTTCCAGATCTATTCAGTCTTGGAAGAGAGATTAATCTTCTTCCATTTTTATGTTTTCTGTTGGAATTGAAATTAATTTAACCTGTTTTATTAACATAGTGGTACATTTGGAATTTAAAGGTACAGATTATTTCTAAACTCCATTTTGCTCACTATTTAGTCCATTATTTTTAGTAGATGAAAGTACTTTATTTTTATTAATTTGATATTTACCTAGGATGCATTTGCATATCTATCAATTGTACAGTCTATTTTTTTCTGTGTAGTCTTTCACTTAAAAACTTGCATGTCAGATACTTTGTTTGCTCTTCTAGTGGTAATGTTGTAGGCTACCATGTGATTGCTCCATGCAAATCTTGCTTGTTCTCTTGCAACAATGGACACTTCTGGATGTTTCACAGTAAGGCCGTTTTTGGAATCAACAGATTTGATTCATCTGGTATGGAACATTTATTCTGCACATGAAGTTAATTGTTGTTATGCTTCTGTTGTGTTGTAGCCTGTTATAAAACATGGACAAGGAGAAAAGAACAAATTTCATATCTGTTGGATTTATTCTGTTTTTCTGTTGGAAATCCCATAGTCCATCAACCAGAACCAGTACAAAACAGCTGATTAAGGAACTGAACATATTCTTAGAGCTGAAATACGGTATCTTAATCATTTATCCTGCTTAGGTGATATGTGATTATTAGCAAAAAATTCTGTCAAGAACATGCTGCATGTAAACTAAATTCTTTAATCTCTTAAATCATCAGACTGGGACTAATTGGCCAGCAAATTTACTGTGAATCTAAGGTGATATGTGTTGGATGTTACTTAATACAAATGCCAGACGGTATGTTCAATGAACTCATTGTAAAACCATATGCTATGGTTACATGCTATTAAGCAAATCTCTTCATGAGCAACTACACTCCAAACTGGATAGTTTATAAAGCAGCAGTGCCAGTAGTTACATTTGCAACCATTTTCCTTTACCACACCACCATCTCTCTTTCCCAGGTTTATCAATAACATATACTCCATCTGCCTGTATACCACACCAAACTAGATTCTGTATAATGGTCCCATCAGTCATGTGTGCCTTTCCTTCACTGAGAACCCAATTATCCATTTTCTGAACACTGCATGCTTTACTTCATCATATTCCACTTTTACCACATTCATCAACTTTCAACTTCATATTCATGCAAAAACTATATCAAACCTATACACTATCATAAGCTTTCTCTAAAACAATGAACACAGAGTAAACTTCTCACACTCATTTCTCAGTGACTTGCTGAAGGACAAAAATCTGGTCTGCATACCACCTACCCAGTATAAAACTGCATTGTGCTTGCCAAATTTTGCTCACTGTCACCCTCATGTCTTTTCAGTCAGAATTCCGCCAAACACCTTTCCAGACACATAGCAATCTATTTAATGCCCATCTAGTTTGTGGTTCACTCTTACATTTCCCTTGCATAGGAGTATAATAGCATTCTTCCATTCATTAGAGATGCAGTCTTCACACACACGAAACAAATTTTACAGCCACACCATAAACAAAGAACATTCATATTTTAACACTATCTATACCTGCAACTTTTCCATTTTTCAACATTCTCACAAAACTGATGACTTGCTTTTCATTACTTCTTTCGTCACTAAAATTATGGCATTTATTTCAATTCCACTCTGCTCCAACATATTACCATTCCTATATAGATCTCTAAAATACTTTATCCAGCATTCATCCCAAATAATTTCAGTTCCCTTCTTGAAGGTTCTAAAATGCTCTGTCTATCCCACATCTCTCATACCCTTATATCTCTCAATTTTTCACCATAAACTCAAATAAATCATTCTTTTAAATTCCCTCCTTTGCCCTGAGTACCCCTGAATAGACTAATGCTTAAACCATGCATTCAAAACTTATCTTTTTCTAAGTGGATAATTGCTAATTATTCATTGTTCTCATGAATTCTTTGGTCCAAAGTGCCAAATTACTTTTTCTGTATTCTCTCATCTCATTCCCACCCATCCATTCATATTTTCTGGAATGTAACACGCAACTATAACCAGACAATGCACTGCTACTTTCATAGACACGCACATCAATATACATGTATCAGTTCATATTTTCTGACATATATTTAGCCATTTCATTCATAATTAAATCTACACTTCAATTCCATGCCTACATTTATCAACCCTACTCCACAGGATCAGACTACTTTCATTAACATCTATCACACCCTTCCTCTTTCTCTTAGCTTCACAAATAGACAACAAAATTATTTTTCTTTGCTTCATTTAATCTGTTAGTTCATTGTTAATTGATTCATTGTTAATTCTTTGTCATTTAATCCTCTTATATCCCAATTCTCTGTCTTTCATATGGGCTCACAGATGTTGATATCTTCTGTCCATCATGCCTTTGGTCAGTCAAGGCTTTCACATAATGCACTTAGTCTGATAAAGGATATAGACTGTGTTACTAGCATTAGTTGTATCTGTGTCACACGCGGCATTTCTTGTTAATGTAATGGCACAATATAGTCAGTTTGGACACATTTTGTCTAGTATGTCACAGATGCAACTAAAGGCTAATTTTACCTCAAACTTGCTTATGTTATTCTGTGCAAACTAGGATCTCTATTTTGCAAGCCAACCCTGCAGACCAACACACTGTTGCCTATATCCCACCAACTAGGAGGTATGTCAATGTATTGATACACTCAGGATATGCTTTCTTTGATACCATGTTTTATCAAGTTAATTCCAGATCCTGACCACAAAAAGTATAAAATAACTGATTTATATTTTTTTTAGGTACAGACTTCTTGCTTTGGGGCAACTTACCAGATCTACAGGAAGGTACTGATGAAGATCTATCCAGCATCTCTGAGGAGGAATATATCAGATAAATATTATCTGCAGTGCACTACATGGTGTGTTTCTCATATTCACAAGAAGTATAAAGCACTGATCCCAGGAAGACAGTACAAAAGGAAGAAGAAAAAAAACACTTCAAAGGTTGATACCTGTCATCTAAAATTATCTGATCTAGTAAGCATCCTGCTACATGATGAGACTAATATGTAAAGATGAGAATACAGCTCTTTCTTGTTCACTTTCCAGAGAGACACTATCTACGTGCATATTTGGCTTCTGAAGTCATTTGATTTTACCTGTTTCCTAAAAAACAGAATTATGATAAACAATATCAAAGAATAAGTTCCACACCCTCATCAATTCTGGGTATTTTAAGATAGATCTAGTAGCCATATAAGAAAAAAAAAATCCTGTAGTGCTTGATAGGTGGATATTATCTCCTGGCCTGCATGGCTTCCTTTTTTCTGGGCCGGAGCCTATGCATGACCTCTCTTTGGTGGCCATATTTAATGTTATTGCCCAAGGAGCTGGCAGTACAGATTCTCCTATTGGCAGCCTTCCAGTTTCAGGTGTTAGTATTAGAGAGGGGTAATAGAGAGCTCTTAAATGTAGACCTGTTTGCACATGCTGTGTGATTGTTGAGCTCTGCTAGGTTAGCTTTCAAGGAAACCTGATAGTGACTTTTAACTGCCAGGGCACATGAGAGCAACAAATGTGGAGATATAGCCTGGGAACTGGCTTATTTCCCTGCTTCTAATGGAAAGAGAAGTTGCAAGGAAACAGTAACAAAAGAACTGGAAAGCCCTACTTTTGTGTATGTGGGACATAATAATGCACATGAGTAACAAAATGATTTAAAACTAATGCCTAAGAGGCACCATCTCTGACTTCAGATATTTCTAAAGTTCTTTGCAAGAAGAGAAAACCAGGGAATGTGATGCTGGAAAGGAGTTTTATAAATGCAGGGCCAGCTTCAGTAATATATTCTTCTGACTTCTTTATTGCTGGCACAAGAGTATTCTTTTGTAGCTAGTGGTATAGAATCTTTTGGAAAGAAGGCATAGCTTGAATTGAGTATTCTAAGTCAAAAGCAGCAGCTAGATAGCTACAAGTAGAACAGTCTATTCTTTCCAAATTGATGAAATATTATCTGGATTTTTTTAAAAGAGAACTAATGTACTTTTGGGAAGAAAAGTATTGTGTAATTATGTTCAAGCTGTTTTAGGACTTTCAGTGCTCTAGTTTATAGGTCACTTTATGAGCCTAGGATAGGTCCAGTGCCATTTCTAGGAACTGAGTACGTAAGTTTAAATCAACTTTTATTTACTTGAATGGGATGATCCAAATGCACAGGGGCCAGATTATGCAAGAGAAATATTTGCTGCTTGTTTTTATTGTCATTTATGTTTGCTTGCGAGATAACCTTGGAAAAATGGTGGTAAACATACTGTTTGAAATCTACTGTTCTAAACCCTGAAAAAAGCACATACTCCACCTTTGATAGTTCTGGGAGTCTTGGCCACTCGGCAGCTACCTACCAGTTGCAATACCCTATATTCTGTTTGCTATGTGGTACCACATGTACAGAATTCCAAAACTGGAGAGCCTTATATTTTTTTTTAAACTAGTTTTCAACTAATAACATTCCCAATATGATGTGAACAAAGAGAAATGAAATTTCAAAGCCAAGCAGAAAGTCCTGAGTGGAATTAACTCTTATTTGGTTCAGATTGGTTGTGTGTTGTCCTTGGCTTTCTGCTGGAAGAGAAGATGTGAGGCCACCATCACTCATTATAGCCAGTTCCATTTTCCAGTTACTCCAACCTGCTGGAATTAACTCTATGCCCATTTCTCCCATGGAGAACAGCCTCCAGGCCCCAGATCAGAGCTTCAACTGCATCTCCTGTTTGGCCCAGGGACTGAAATATACAACTCAGTATCATTAGCATAATAGTGATACTTGACTTTATGCCAGTAGATGACCTTTCCCAGTGTTGAAAGAGGGGTGAGAGAGTTTGGCCTTGTGGTACTTTCTACCACCAATTAGAGCAGAAAGGAGAACCATAGTGCTTCCCACTCCCATCCTTCAAGGATGAGCCAGAAAGAGATCATGATCAATGGTATTGAAGGCAGCTGAGAGATCTAGCAGGACCAGGAGTTCATACTCCCTCCATCTCAGTCCCACCACAAGTAATCCACAGAAACAATCAATGTAGTTTCAGTTCCATTTTCAGGCCTGAAACCCAATTTAAAAGGGTCCAAATAATCTGCTTTATCTAGGGCTTTCTGCAACTGTAGACACATGAACTCCTTGTAGAACAGCCAGAAATTATCTAGAAATAAAACTCAAAGAGACAATTATTTTTTTCTTCATCATTAAATTCAGTGGGACTTAATTCTCAGTAAACATACTGGATAGCACTGACAGAGCAGTAGAACTGTTTTAAAGAGAGAAAGAGAACCTATACAATTCAATTTAAATCAATGGCACAAAAGCATTTAGGTCAGTTGTATCTTTAGTATTCAGCTTTGCCTTGTTAGGTCTTTTAGGAGTCACCAAAATTTCTACTAAATTTCCCAAGATTTGATGGTCATAACACAATGTAATGTAGATTCATGGAATGGTATGGCAGAAGCCATGTGAATAAAAAGGTCAAAACAAAGGAACGGGAGTGGTTAAACCTATGCAATAACCAGTTAATATTTATTCCTCACCTTTTTAAAATAATTTAAAGATTAAATATTTAAGCTGATAGCAAATGTATTCAAATATACATATATATGAATGCAAATGTGCATTCATATATGTATATTTGCCCAAGAAGCCACGAGACAAATATTTCATATATACCCACACACACTCACATGCTTATTCTGAAGGCCATAGGGAAAAATGGGTTGAAGATAATCCTTGTAACCCTTTTTGATTGAACTAGGACAGTAGGTGGATGGGTGTTATGCATCCAGTTATGAGAAATATTTTATATTTGTGGTAATGTAAAAGACAGACATGGAAAGAACCACATAAAATCTGCATTCCAATAAACCATGTGCCTTAGCTTCTCCCAAGCTCTGATGTTGCTCACATCTATGTAAAATGCACTGTAGCAGTGCATTCTCTTTTCCATAATGCATTATTCAAGACTGATTGTTGCTAGCATTAAGGATTGAAGAGAAAGGAAGCAAAAAGTCACAACATGACAATGACACATTCTTTCTGCTTCTTTCCAAAAGGAGCTATATGGGGAAGAGAGTGGGTGACTGATTAAATATATATGCTTATTTTAGAACAAATCAGTGCATAGTATCTAAGAGGCAGCCTATGCTAAACACATGCAGAGAGTCAGTTTCCACTGCAACACAGTCATTGTGTTGTGCCGCTGATAAATAGCATATTGCAAAGAGACCAGAACAAAAGACTGCCTCTAATTAATTATGCCTTTCCTGACTATGAGGCAAACTTGGTGTAATGCAATTAAAACCTACAGCAACTAGAGCTAGAATTACTTTTAGCAGGATAAACTAAGTTGGCATTTGTCCATATAATGATATGCCATATTTATCAGAAAGAAGGGTAACTCTGGTTTTTAAGACTGTCTGCCAAAAAGGGTAGATTAGAGACAGGAAAAAAACCTTATATCTCTCTTATTACTCTGTTTTTGCAAATGTAAAAGAGGAGTCTTCCTTTCAAACAAATCAGTATTGTCTGAGTAGATTGTTCTGAACAGCACAGACTTTTAAAGGTGGGTTCCATGGAACAATGAACATGCGGACATCAATATCACTTTTCAGGCTAGCATTTCACTCACATGTACAGTTCCTGTTTAATTCTCTTTTATTTTGTTTTTAAAGCAGGGTAGAATGGAAGGATAGAATGTGTACTCAGATTCCTGTTTGTCTGCTTTTGGCAAACTGCTCCATCATCAGTTTGCCAAAAGCAGCAGCCACAGTTCAGTGATATCATGTCTATCTGCCAACAAGACCTTTTTTCAACCTCTATCCGTTTTGTGAAAATGTAAGCTTTTACTAAAAGTTCAACTTCCTATTGATTTTATATTCAAAACCTGGTTCCTTTTGGACAGAAATAAAGCAAATTAACTCTGAGTTCATCAGACTCTCATGCTTCATGTGGTTTGGGTTGTAGTGTCCTGATTATGATTCTTCAAAATACTTAGTTTTACATATCTGAGTAACATCATATAACGGAAAATAACTGCAAAATTCTGATTTCCTTTTCTACTTCAGGGTATAAGCAACATATATGCCTCCTTATAAAGCCACAATAATTGTAGGGGATCATACAGCTGCTCTCCAGTGTAAGGGTGTTTGGGTTTTTAATTGCTTAGTAAAGTCCTGAGGACTGTTACAATCTCCTGAATTTATACCTATGTAAATATTCCTGCTATGTTTCATCTAGACAAATGTAGATGTGTAACACATCTGAAAAGTAGGTGCATACAGACATTTTCTTGCCATTATTTCAATATATTCTCTTGGTTCCTTATTCATAACTCAGTATCCATCTAGGCAATACATTGGAAAGCATAGATTTTCACAGAGCGATTGAATTGAGAATATGTAGATTAAAGCAAAAATCAGTCTCTCAGTTTAAAAAGTAGGCAGTGAAAATACCAGCTATTTGGAGGTAAGGTTTCATCTATATTCAAAACCAGATTATTGATATAATTGGTATGTTCTCAATGTAATTGGTTGCAGTAGTGAAAATGTATTTGAACAATCTGCCTACCTATCTTGGACTCAGCAGCTCTGTTGTTAGGAAGGATACTGATGGCTTTTCAAGAAGGGGGAGAAGTATTAATTAGTCTTTAGTCAGGGAGCATGCAATTTAATTAGGCAAGAGAGATGTTCCCTTCTAAACTTATTTCTTAAGGAGCCATTAGTATCTTGATGACTTTATCAGTAATATGTTATCTATTTGCAGATCTATCAACCCAAATACCACACATTAAGACAAAAGACCTATTCGAAGTAATATAAAGAATAAAGATTACTTGTAGTGGAGTTCAACTTTAACATCTATTTTAAGTCCAAAGCCTATGAAGCTTGAAACCTATGAAGAACAAAGCCACCTTACCATTATTTTCACCAATAACAGCCCTCTTCATGACTTTCATCAATGTTATCCATAACACCTTCTTCCCTTTCATCACTGACCCTTTCTACCTTCGGCAGAAGGGAAATTTTAACCATATTCATCTGGACATAGTTAAAGCCCTCCCTGAATGGGAAGTCTTGATCATGCAGAACTCCTAATTATGGGAAGGAGAATAATGGTACTCATCCAGCTTCAATTTCTTCAGATCTTACTTAACATAGAATTGGGGTAGAAGAGGCAGAATAAGTGTCTTTATGTGGCCCTTGAGCCTCAGTGCAGATACAGTTGGTAACCAGTTCAATAGGCTTATATAGAAGGACCCTCAATGCAAAAGCAGGATTAATTCCAGATGAGAAGTTTCCATTTTATGACTTAACTCTTCTCCCCCTCCCATACTAACATGTATCTCTTTTTTCAAAATAGTGTTGATCACATATGTAGTTCTGTCTATGAAACAAAGATGCCTAATTACATTTTACTTGTAAAATTAATTCTGGGGTTATTTTGTTCTGGTTAAGAGCAGCAGTCAGAGATTTAGATACACGTGAAATTGATCTGAAGTGCTTGAAGAGAAAGAGGGTCTTGAGGCATAACATTTAGATTCTCTGGATCAATGTATTAGAGATCCAGAAACCCCGTGTGGCTTTATTCTGAGGACATCAAAGAAGCAAAGGGCATTTCTCATTGATTTGCTAACGGGGTGGAAAAGAAAATCTTTCAAAAGCTAGTCAAATTGAGAAAGCAAGACATCCCATATCAGAAGGAAGGTGGATTTATTATCAAGAAGCTGCATGAAAAAGATTATGTAAGGAAAAAAGATAAGTACTTCTGGAGAATGGGGGGAAAAAAACACTGATATTTTGAAGCATTCACCTTTAGGTTAGCAACAGCATACTGTAGATTGGAACATACACGGTATCCTTGGGAACCAAGAAGTAGATAATAAATCAGTACTGTCAGTGTTATCAGAAATCTCAGCTAACAAAAAATGCAGCTATTGTTGGAACAAAAGATTAGGGCTCACTCCTGCAGCCCATAAAATTGAGTTTATTCTGGGTTGGGGAGGGATGTCCTTTTATAATATATTTTTGCCTGTAACATTATTTTGATACACCCAGTACTTTCATCAGAGTAAGAATACAGTCCCAGAGTAAAAGGAAAAATTCCCAACATTGTTTAATCAGCAACATGAGCATCCGTGGTGGTGTTGGAGAATTAATATCACGTGTCTTATAATGTAATTGCACAAATTGTTAAAATAATAACATAATTTGCATTATTTCCACGAGGATGTCTTGACACACTTGGCATCATTGAGGCTTGTACTGAATGTCTGTGGTTATCAAGCACTAATCCTAAAGTGAACAAGTATTCCAACCTCACCCTACTGTAAGAGGTTGAAGTTCTATGGCCTAGATACACTCTTTTACACACACAAAAATTAATAATAAAGTAAGCATAGCAGTTATATTAGTCATTTGAAAAGAAAGACCGAAGTATACCATTCAAAACTCAGCAACATTTGTTCTACGTAGAGGGGGAAAAAATTCTTTGGCAGCATAGCAACTTGCTAACCAATAGAAAATTCCTAACGCATCTGTTAATGGGAGTAACACACAGCAAAGGAGAGTCTCAGCTCCAGATTAGCAATTTCCACTGAAGAGCTAGTTCAGGAGAAGATGCTAGCAAATACTTCACCACTAGAGCAACAAACATAAAATAGTATCAGTTACATGGTTTATTTGTCTCATCATATAAAATATTCAAGAAAAATATCTGCTGGGTGGGGCTGATATAGCAGTAGTTGCTTAGCAACTTCTCAACTTTCAGCCACATTTTTTCAGATTTAAATTAAGGAAACTTTCTTCAGTTAATTACTTTATGTTACAGAATGCCACATGTCAAATGAACAGGAACTGCTAATCTGAAATTCCATATCTTTTTGATCACCTAACATTTCAGAGTTTCATAAATATAGAAATGTGTCAGTCTTACCAAGTGGTACTAAATATCCACATGACTTTGCACAGATCATCCCTCATTATAGATCCAAAGAACTTGCTACAGTGGCTACAAAGGTAGGGAAGAATTGATTCCAGAAAAACTCATTCAAAAAAATACATTGACAAAGACTAATAATGGAGAATAAAAATTTATGCTGTAGGGCACTGGTAAGGAAGATGAATCCCCCTAGTACAGTTTCAACAATCTGTTGCCGATCTAGTTGAGGCAGATGAGATTTGCAGTTCAATGATATCAGGAGAGCCAAGGATTCTCATCACCATCACCAATAGTATGGCCCATAATATGAAGGACTCAACTTGGGAGGGAAGAAAACATTACCTTTAAGAGTTACCTTTGGTGAAGACTAAATTGCACACATCTATTCTTCTCAGAGGGTGTTTCTGGCACCATTGTTCAAGACAATGTGATACATTTGCTTTTGTGGAGCTAGCATCCTGTTTGCAAGTCTTTCCTTTGAAAAAAAAAAAAGTCTGGGTGGTTTTCCAGGTCTGATGTAACATTTTCCACAAATAATGCCTTCATAGGAAAACATTCAAAGCACAGCAAAAATCTGGTTCTGCAGGAAAAGACTGTATTTCAGAAAGGCCATTTTGGGAAGGAAGAGGCAAAA